TTGGCTGCCTCCGGGATCACGGGCTGGTGACAGCCTGGGGCTGAGGTGCGAGGCACAGCTGTGATCCATTCCCTGCGCAGTCCCGTGCTGGCACCGCCCTGTGACCCTGGTTTTGCCCACCTGTCTTGCTCCTGGTCACCGCTCTCTGCCCACCCACAGCCCATCCCACGCGCCCAGCCAAGCACGCTGCATCTGCAGGGGCCCTGGGCTGGTCTCACCCACATGCTCTGTCCAGCATCCCCTAGCAGTGGGTGCTGGGTGGACAGGCTGGGCTGCCTGTACAGTGGGGCAGGGTCTGGTAGCAATGGCAACACTAGCAGTGGCAGCTAGAAGGAGCTGGGGCTGCCAGGAAGTGGAGTCTGGCCACTGTGCTGCCCCAGGCCAGTTGCGTGCCTGGGGGCAAGGGGACTGGCTGCAAGTGCTACAGCCTAGGTTGCCCCCAACCCCCATGGGTTGGGCAGGGCTGAGGGACCTGCCACCTGCTGGATAAAATCTTTTGGTGGGTTGGATTGGGCCCGTGGGCCAGGTGTTGCCTACCCCTGTCTTAGCAGGTCATGCTGTAAAGGGACGGTGCTGGTGACAGTAAACCTGCTCCTGTCCTCAGACTTTTATAGACGTTTCAGCATTACTGTGTTCCAGCTGTGCTCCAGCTTTTGGCCTCCATGAGTCTGGATCAGGCCACATGCTCCCTCCACCTAGCTCACATGGCCTCAATTGGCCCCCGTGCACCCAGATCAGATCCACAATTTTTGGGGCCCCCTGCAAGATATAGTTTTGGGTCCCACTGATCCATTGAAAAATCAAAATGTGGCCTAAATTCACTGAAATAAAGTAAGTCTGGGCTTCAGGGAGGACAGGGTGAAGGCAGACATGCTGCGGATGCCATGGATTCCCTCCCCTGGGCCGGGGCCAGGGCAGGAGCGGAGCCGGAAACTCTTGCCCTGCTTGGCCGGGAAGGGGCTCCCTGCCTGCACTGAGCCCTTTAAACATGGCGGAAGCGGTGGGGGGGTGAGTGGGGCACAGCCCCTTGGTAGGCAGGTTCTGTAGGATAGGACGGGCCAACCCTGGTCACCCCCCCCAATGTGCTGGGATTGGGCTCTGCATGCTGGGATCAGGCCTTGGGGGCCTCTGTGGTGCCTTGGCACACTGGGACTGGTCCCTGCACTACCCTGCCTGCCTGCCTGGCCTAGCATGCAGAGTGACACTGTCTGTCCCACAGGGCACCCCATGGGTCAAGAAATCTGGTAGGAGGGGAGCAGTACCACTCCAGATCTCTCCAGCATATTTTAACAACCTTTTACAGCAGCAGGACATTGGCTACCATGGTCCCCCACTTTCCCTGTGGCAGAGTTTTGTGGTGTTGTCTCAAGAGTTGACGGCAGTTTCTTTATCATGTAGATTATGGATTTATATAGAATGGTTTGGATAGGGATGATCCTGTCTCAGGCAGGGGGTTGTACTAGATGACCTTTGGAGGTCCCTTCCAGCCCTACTTCTCTATGATTCCCGAAGCTCAGCATCCCTGTTCTGTTCCAGGTCAGCCCAAGAGTAAAAATTACTGAATCTTATTTAAAAAAAAAAAAAGACATGAAAAGGAAATGGAGAAGTTAATTTTCATGCATTTTCTCTTCCACTCATGATTCAAATTCATCATCTGCACTGGAAGTAACAGCACATTTTGTTACACAGAGGGCACTTCTACACAAGATGTTTACTGTGGCATTGACTAATTAGCTCTGCAGTAAACATCTCATGTCTATATGTGCAGCGCTATTAGGCAGGAGTAAGCTAATTAACTCTGTAGGAAAGCACATGCAGACACCGGAGATCACCGTACAAAGATGCTTCAGTGTGGAGGGCTGCCTGCTGGCTAGCCTTGCACTGTAGCACCCTCGCAGCCCAGCCAGCCAGCCAGCCAGCCAGCCCCTCCACAGCACAGAGCCAGAGTGGAGCAGCCCCATTCTGGCAGGCTGCCCCCACCCCCCCCTGGGTCCCCTGCCAGCTGGGGCCACTCTAACCTGGCTCAACATGCTGTGGTCCTGGGTGCATCTTTAAACGTGGCACCTGGCAAGCAATGAACTCTGGCATGATAAACACCGGAGCTTATTGCTTTAAGAGAATTTCATGTGTAGACGCTCCCAGAATAGTATACTTTGCCACTGGAATGAGGTAACGAAAGTACTACTAAAGTAGTTGAGTGCGAAATATTTTGTGAGGTTATTTATGTGACTGATCAAATGTTCCTTTGACCAAGTGGCATTCTTCTTTACAGTTTATTGATTTTCAAAGGCAAGACACTTTACTTTCCAATTCAGTTTTAAAGTTTTACTATTGTCACTGCATTTTTAATCAGGTCACCTAATTGCATGTGTTATTTTCAGTCTTTAACAATTGTGTCAGGTATATTTAAAAGGTGTAGGTTCATTTCACTTAGGGTCACCATTGGTCCCTCTGCGAGAGAAGCAACTAGAATGGGTACACAAGTGCTCAAAAGGGGCCAGAAAGATGCTGAGTGTAGGGACCGCTGTCTCTAAAGATCCATAGAGCAAAAGCCTGGGAATCTCTACAGAATAATTGGCAGTTATTGTCGACCATAACCTGGATTAAGAGATGCACTAAAATTAAGAAAGATAGCTTGAGTTCTATTCTCTTTTGCCCAACCACTATTACTTGAACTTGTGGCAGGGATAATTCCCTTCCCCCACCATAGAATATACCTGTAAGAATGTAAAGTATTATTTATACTCATTGGAGGAAACCCCCCTCCAATATAATATAATACTAATTCCTGCCAAACATGGTTTGGAACAACTCAGTGTATTTAACAGAATATAAAAGTGCATAGAAGCAAGTTAATAAGAAAGGTATACAAGTTGGATTCACGTTCTATATGATTTAAATGCTTGATCCTAAATCCCTTGCTTATATTCCTTACCTTGGTGAAAGGTTCCCTTGGCATCACTGGAACTGTTTACGTAAGAGATGTGAAATCTTTGGGAGTATCATAATTAATTTTGTTAATCTGGATTGCAGGCTCAAATCATGAGATATTGGGAAAAGAGATCGAAAGCCATAGTAGCCAAATTATTAGAGGTGCATCGATACACTGGTCCGATATTGGATCAGCACAGATATAAAGAAAATTGTCTGTATCAGAAATTGACCTGATATGATAGATAATTTGGCTAAGTGGCCCGTGCATGTGCAGCCGCAGAGTGTCATGTAGGTGGCGTGGAGCACAGCCCTGCAGCTTGAAAATAGTGTCCAGCTGGTAAATCTGTTGTGGTGGAAGTGAAGGGATGTGGGGAGGCAGATTAAGGCCCCCCGCGGTGAGGTAAAGAGTGGGCTGGGGTAAGCGCTGCCCAGCCTGGGTGGGGCAGGCACGGGATGGAGCTGTGGCTTGTCCAGGGGATGGGGCAGCCCCCACTGCTGTGTGCTGCTTATCCAGGAGGGAGCTGCTCATCTGGTGATTTATCTGGCAGCTCCCACTGCTCGTCCGGGAGGGCATGGCTGGGGTGGGGAGGGAACATGCGTCCCCAGGTCTGTGCAAGGCGGGGTGGGCTGTGCTTGGGTCAGGCAGCAGCACTGGGAGCGGGGCTATGGGGGGGCTGCAGCCACCCCAAAATTTGCCATAGCCCCTGCTCCCAGTGCTGCTGCCTCCTGCCCTGAATGCAGCCCTGACCCCGCCCTGTGCAGATCCAGGGGCACCCCCCATGCCCTCCTGGATTACCAGAGGGAGCAGTGGCAGGAGCCGCTGGATGAGCAGCTCCTGGATGAGCAGTACGCAGCAGCAAGAGCCCCTCCCCACACCCCCAGGATGAGCCATGGCTCTGTCCCACGCCTGCCCTGGCTGGGCAGCACTTGCCCTAGCCCCATTCCCCCTCTCACCACCCCGGGCTGTGATCTGCTCCCCGCCCTTTCCCTTCCACCACAAAAGACTTACCAGCTGGACGCAGCTGTATCAGAAATCAGATTGGCATCGGTGGATATGCCTCCTTAAAAATCAGCTATTGGTATTGGCCCCAAAAATCTCTTATCAGTGAACCCCTACAAATAATGGAATTATTCTCTAGAAAGGGAATAAAGCAAGTTGAGTGAGGGAGAACGACTGATGGGGTCTGAAGTTTAGACAAGATTAATTTATATGGCTATTTATACACGTGCTCACGTTTTCAAAAAATTCACATTGTACTCTATATTGGTTTAGAACAACATCTTGCAACATAATAAAAACTATAAACCAATATTGCCAAATTTCAGTATTTAATATACAGTACTTACTGCATTTGTATTCATTTTACATTTTTAGATAAAACAAAAATATAGCTAGGAAAGTGAAGTAAACTCTGAGAAAGCAATTTTAAATATACAAACTTTTTTTTGCCTTTTTACTTTGTAATAATTTGTGTACAACTGAAAAGAACTTGACACTGTGACATTTTTATTATATTGATTTTTTTCATACTGAGCCCTCAACCTCTGACAATAAATACACAACTTTGCTTTTGTAGCACTGCCAGCAGCAAAACGTTCAGTTCCAAAGGACTGTAATTCCGATATAACATAATATCTATAACCCTCAGCATTTTTTAATTTAGTTTTGCCTCTAATACACCCATTAACACATGGTTATTTTTTGCAGTCCTCCATTTTAATAAGTCTGTATTTGTAAAAGCTAAAGAATATTTTATGTAGTAAGGTGCATGTTTGAAAGGGAATATTTTGTAATGAACTTCAATGAAGTCAGTGTAAAGTAGCCCCGTGTTAGGGCCTTCTTAAAGCAGAAAGCCACATAGGGTGACATTTTGGGCATGGATCAGTCTTAATTATATCAAGAAGCTTTGGGTAAAAGAGCTGTTAAACTCTGGGTGGCTGCACCACTTTCCAGCCATTAGGCACAGCAGAAGCACATTTTCCACTGTGTTTTTGGCTATTAGTGGCTTAACAGGTAGCTAAAACATCTCATGCATAATGAGGGCATACTACATTTAATATACCAGTTTCCTTTTTGTAGCCCCTTGCTGTAATTAAAAGAAAATCAATACATTTAAGTGACAGATAAATCATTAGTTCATGTTTTGTACATTTGTAGCTGATGCAGACTGTTGTACACGTACACGATTTTCTGCTGGAATAAGAAACCTAGGGAGCATTGAACAACAATTATTAAGCACACTGAATAAAAGTAATTATGCACCTTTAAAAGAAACAGTAACACACGCACCTTTTCATGTTTGTACCCTGATATTAAAATAGCAGAATGAATTTCAAGTATGAAATGATACAGTTAAATCATGTCCTGTGAATAGATATAAATGATAGTCTAGGGAGTAGAGTTTGCACCTTAGGTAACTTTTCACCTTGTAAAATAGTCAAACTGAATGCTTAGATAATATGGTAGATACAAAGGACCAGATCCTGAGCTGGGGTGAAGTGACATAGTCATATAAAGTCAGTAGGACTGTACTGATTTGCACCAGCTGAGCATCTGATCCAAGGTGAGTATAAAATAATTGGAAGTGCTTTTGATGTTTACCTTAAATGACCAACCCTAGACATCTCCAGATTAAGTTATATTTTAATCACAGAAACTAGTTGTTCAAGTGTCCAGCTTTAGATGTATCCTTAACTTTTAATGTTTTCCATGTTATTTTTTGAGACCTTACTGGGACAGATTCTGATCTGTTAAATTGATGTTAACATGGAGGAATACTACTTAAGCAAAAAATTACTCCAGATTTTTATCAGTGCAGCTGAGTTCAGAATCTGTCCCACTGTTCATAATAATCCATATCATAACACTGAAAACAACATTTTTTATAAAGCTTTTTGAAAAATGTCACACATCTTGCAGATTTTGGAACTGATACCCTATAAAAATACTTAACACACATGCTAAGATTTACACATACAAGTCACCCCAGTTACTCTATGTTCAGTGGGACTTCTTGCATGTTAAGATTAATCGCTAGTTTAAATGTTTGGACCATCAAGAACTAAATCTTTAATTCTGGTACCTTTTGTACCAGTATTGTGCTTTTCTCCACATATCATTAGTTCACCAAGAAGCTTTAACATTTGTTTCAAAAAGTAACAAATAGAAAATCTGAAAAAAGTAGCAAATTATTAGAGTTAATATCTGGTCACACTACCATACATAGCAACTTTCTTTGCTTACTGACTAAACATATTATCTGTATATAAGCCTGAAATGCCTGACCTTTAAATTTGTAGGCTTATTGAGTAAAAATAATTCTTGATGCAATTTAAATACTGTTAGTGGAGTTATACCAGGAGTGAATTAGGCTGATTGATTTAAAGTATTTTGAAACTGAAACTGAATGTTATGTAACTGTATATGTACAGTAATGGTTACTACACCTGCTGTTTTTCTTATTTAGTTCAACAACATTATGTAGCTTTGCCTTTTTCCAGAAACATGTACAAAACCACAAAAGCGATTGTATCATTTCTAAAACTTATTTTAATGGCAAGAAGCCAGGCAAACTCAGGCACTGGTTTAAGCATCTGTCACTGACTGGTATCTATCAGAACTACTGCAAACAAAGTAAAGTCAAAAAGGCAGCCTATGCAATGTTTTCTAATTTTAATTTTTCAGACAGCGCGCCCTGATCCCCTGCAATACATTACACTATGTGTAAATTTAGCTCTACAATAACACTTTGGAATTAATTTGCTCATTCCTTTACATAGTGAAACAAACAAAAATAGCCTAAATAGAATACTACATCTGAACAAACTTTGTCTCTAGTTGCAAAATTCACATATACAATACACGGCTGATTTAGGAATTCGTTTCCTTATTCTCTGTTTGCCTATGAAATGAGTTTCACCTTGACAACTAAAATGAATGCCATATGCAAATAAAAAAAATAACCCTATGCTTTTCACAGAACTAATGTGTTTCCATAACAAATACCATACATGAAATACAATGACAATAATTTATATTAATGTTGAATAATGTGGATATAAATGTGTCCTTGTTTTCAATAAACAGTGACTCCACTAACTGGTGTTTGGGTGCTGTTACTAACCAGGTGTCCTCACTATTACAACCAGTTACAAAGACCTTTATCTGTGAACACAGTCTATGAGTCTTATTCACCCAAGTTGCTTCTTTTAGTCCAATGGGACTGTTCAGGTGAATTAAGTTACTCGTATGCATGTGTTTCCATTATTTGGCCCTCTGATTAAACAAAATTAAGCTAATGAGGAAACACAAATATGCACTATTATGTAAAATGTAGATAGGCATGCAGATTAAAATATATTGTGGTGCTTTCAGGAGCTATAAGGAACACTCCCACATTATATACTGCCTTACAAGACATAATTTTGAATGTATGATTTTTCATTAATAATAATATTCCAAGACAGTATACTTTTAAAGCTGTTCGAAGTAATATAGCTATGTATTACATGAAATGCAAAGCCAAAAAGATATCCAGTGGCAGAAACACAGAATTTAAACCAATCAGAACACAATATTTGAATCTGAGCATCTAAAAAGAACTTCAGAAAGAAATTACAGACTGGAGAGAAAAAAAGTGGGTAGGTACCTCAGCTTGCCTGAAGTGCCAAAGTGATCCTCTCTTGCAGAAAGCATTTCCTATATGCTAATAGAAAAAGAATGACAGCTTTGGATCTTCTTTATTTTTAAGTAATTGTTATTTACTGACAAAGCAGCAACTGTAGTGCTTGTAAAAATTGTGTGGTTAACAACCCTTTTCTAAACCCTTCTCCAACATGACCAGACTCAGTCCTTTTTAAAAGCACAGTCTTAATGCAGATTGCTGCACCACACTCCCATCATTGCTTTGAAGAGGGGTCACCTGTATGTAGGAAAGGAGATTGGTCTCCAGGGCCCTGTAGCTTCTGACCACTGCTATGAATTATAGTGGAGATGTCAAAGATATTAAAAGTTTCTTCTTTCATTCATCTCCACATATTAAGACCTGTCATTTCCCACTCTCTCAATTTCCCAGATAAACACAGGCAGCAGCAAAAGATGTGGCAGTAACAATGGTTCAGTAGGGCACAGGTAGTACAATGGGGAGCATGACCCAAAGTAAAGTGTCAGGGAATTAAACTGACCTGTTTTGAGGTGCCCATTGGACATAGCCTGTCGTATCAGATCTGACTGGAAAGTAGAGGTCAGGACAAACAAAGGTGGAGATGTATTACAAGAGTTTGAGGCAAGAAGGATTAAGATTATTTTTAGGATTTTTGCCACACAGTTGGAGCAGGGGCTGGTACAGCAGTGAGTAGCACTGCAGCTGATTGCCAGCAGCCAAGAGTAGGAAAATATAGTGAATATAGTTTGAAGCTGGATGCAGATTGCTAGCCAGAAGAAAATGAGCATAGATACACAAGCAAGGAGTAAGGTCTTTCTCATTTGGACAGTGTGGGGCACATGCTACCTGCTCAAGTACAGCTGAGCAGAACAAAGAGTGCAAAAGGCAGCTTGTGTGGGAGGCATTTTAGATCTCTCAATAGAAGCTTTGACTAAGGTCTATAGGTTTCACACTAGAGATGATCAATCATACAAGAATGCTGGTATATTTCAGAGATTTCCCTGACAGTCACTGGAAGGGGAAATAAGTGCTCAAGTGGCTGCAAAGGAGTTGGGGTGATAAAGGACATTTGATAAAACCATTCATATACTAACGCTCCCAATTCCTAGTGAGGGTCTAGGAAAAACAACCCTAGTGAGGGTCTAGGAAAAACAATGGAACAAATCAATGATGTTCTTGAAAACTGGGGAAATGTTTCTTTTCAAAGTCCTAGCAGTATATGAAACAAATTTAAATGCATGTTTTTAGTATTTCATCCTGCAGAATTTAATTGAAATATTAATATATTTAAGGACAAATACAACCACCACAACCTCCATGTCACAGATATCCTGACTGGCAGCAGAACCAAGGAAGTTCTTCTGAATAAAGGGAGGCAAAATGTTGGGAGCCTTTTGATGGGTTCAGTTCACTAAAGATTCCTTTCACAATACCACAGTGGGACAACGTGAAGGTAAAGCAAGGGTGGTGCAACTGGCTGGGACCTCTGTGACTGTATCACCTAGAGCCTGATGTGCAGATATGGAGGAAGTTTCCATTCCTTGCAACTGTGGAAACTAATTTTTTGCCAAGCCTATTTGCTTATCCTTAGTGCAAGTTCCAAGATTTAGTCCTGTACACTCTTCCAGATGCAAGGTATAAACACAACAGAACCACTACAGGTGTCTAACACCTGAAGGCTCCACAACAAAACCATGAAGGCTCCACACCTGTGGTAGAGCTTCTAAGGATTCCTCCTCCTTCCCCTTGCACAGTGAGTGCCCTGCTGTGGATAAAACCAAGTAGAAGGGCTGAGCACGATGCTCAATCCTGCAAGACAGTAAGTAGTCTGGGCCAATCAAGCAAAATATTCACGCATATGAGCAACTGCATTAAAATAACACTACTGTTTCAGTGCTTATTCTTAAATGCTATCTTGGATTGGCCTATTTACTATCTGGCAGGACCAAACTTAAACTTTAACAGGAATAGATACTTTTTCAGTATTTTTCTGCACATGAAACAACTCCCTTTTATAATGTATGGCATATTTTGCATTATTTCAACACACACAGCGAAGTCAGTGAATCACAAGTGTAACTTCAACTTATTTCCCCTCATTTCTGTGAAACAGTATAGATTGTTTTACTGCAAACCAATGTTAAATTGCTAGCTAGAATTAACTTATCTCAATTCATTTCTTCCATAAACTTCTGTAAACATTTGAACTTTGCAGGTTCTGTAAAAACACATCCATTTTCATACATACTTAATTCGTACGCTTGTATTTGCATTTTTCCCATTATAAATGCTCTCCTTTTCATCTGCGCTAAAACCAGGCAACATCTTTTTCCTAACCTCTCTCATAAACAAAAATCTACTCTACCATAATCATTCAATATCAAGTTATACTCTTTCTGCTGCCTTTTGGCATCCAGTTGAATTAACTATCCCTGGGAGATGGAATCCAAGCCCTTCATGTATTTTCTAACATAAGCAAAACATTATATCTGAAGGGGGAAAAACTGATATAGAAGAAATAAGATAGATAAGAGAGAGTTTTTGTTTTATATCAGTTTTGTGTCATGTTCCTTTAAAGATTTCTGGGAACACTATTAGCTATTTATAAATAAACAATCTAATCTAATCCACTGAAAAATTACTAATATATGTTATTACAAACACATCACTGAAAGACCCACAGAGATTACTTGCTCTCATGTGTATAGTACGGAAATGGTTATGCAAGTAACCCTGCCCTTGATGAAGTCAGTAGTAGCTTTTCCCTTGACTCCAGTCACAGCAGGCTCTGCCCTTTAAGTCAGCAAAACAAAGAGCTGAGCACCTTTACCTACCACTGGGTGCATCTATATGAGAGGCTTACTGCGGAGTTGCCTAATTTGCTTCAGAGTAAAGTATCATCATTTCCACCAGGTGTGCTATTCGGCCAGAGTAAACAATTAACTCTCCAGTAGGATAGTACTGCCCGACACGTACTATTCTATGGCACAGTTTACTCCACCACAATGCATGTGTAGATGGTGACAGGCTGACTGGGGCACAAGGGTACTACAGTGTGGGGGCTGCCTCCTGGCTAGCCCCACACTGTTGAGCCTTCATGCCTCATCAAGCCCCACCGCAGCATACTGAATCAGGGGGAGTAGCTCCAGGTTGGTAGGCTGACCCCTTGGGCCTTCTCCCAGCCAGGTTCTGTGTCACTGGCTAAGTGTGCTTTAGTCCCAGGTACACGTGCAAATGCTCTGCCTAGGAGCAATAAACTCTGCCACAAACCATTTGTGTTTATTGTGTCACATTAATTTCACAAGTAGATGCACCCACTGAGTATAAGAAAAGCAGAAAGTGTGCATAGGGCTATTTCTGAGGGTGCATTACTATTTCAATCAGCTCTGGCTAGGTGACTGTTGCTGCTGGAATGAAAAAGAATCATGTTTTTCTAAAGGAGAAATTACTTCAATGGAAATATTAGACCAGTTCCAAAATCTAGGCATCTAAGCATTAATTTTAAGGATAAAAGGACAAATTTCTTCAGCAGGTCTTTGCAGAAGCTCAATCGCCATTTTTGATAATATCTCTGCATATTCTTGGCAAAAGTAGAATTTCCTAATTAGTATAGCAATTGTTTTCTTTTAGCGCTTATATATTTTGCACACATTGCAAGTAGCACACAATGTTAAACACAAACAAGTGATAAGCTGAAGCACAAAACAGAGGTGTGTTTGCCAGTTAATACATACACACCTTGAGTATTTTTCTCATTTAGGGCCTGACTCAGTCTCATTTAAATCTGTGAGAACAAATCTTAGTTTTTAATAGGAATCACAGGAATGGAGGACAGTCAGCACATTCCATCATCAGGCCCATAAAGGGCAATTGAATTAACACTACTAACTAGTTATTTACAGCTATTGCTTTCCAAAAGTATAGCACAATATAAAAAAATAAATTCACATAAATATAATTCATATCTGATATTACATGAATGATATATAAGAATGCCAATAGACTGTTAAAACTGTTAACGTGGATATATTTTTGCATGATTAAATTTTTATTTAAGATGCACATTCAAGAATGTAGGCATTCCATGTTACATCCAGTTTTTGAGACTGTTTCTCATATTTTCTCTTACCCAAAAAAAGCTACACTATCCGAAATGTTTACATTTTAACATCCAAATGGAGACAGGATTGATAGCATGTTAATAGTTATAGTAATTAGTGGTTTCAGCATAGAAATTTTAATTTGCTGTGCATGTAAAAATACTTCTGCAAATCTCCCCCATGATTTCATATTACTAGAACTTTGTTTGTAATATACTAATGTGAAGGAAAACTTCTACATATACAAGGTCAACAGTGAAGTCCTGTTGACATCAAGAAGTGATATGGGCATTCTGGAAGAGCATTCTTGATAGTTTGGTAGCTGTCCAATAACAATGCTGGCTTCCTTAGATTGTAATCAATCCAAGATCTGCCACTTCAAATGACAAAGTGACTGAACTGCACTCAGTGTACAGGGAAGTGTAAGCAGCTCAAACAGCGGGCAGATAACAATTATCCAGCAGCTTTAATTTTAAGGGAAGCTAATGTAACACACAAGAGCTGCTCTAGTCATGTCCCCTTCTAGCCAGTGAGCAATGCTGATTAGATACAGGTATCCTAACAAAAGGGAAATAACACAGACCTTATGCTCTTGCACTTCCCTTCCACAGACTTCCTACCACCAGGGATAGGCTTCTGGATACTGTGCTGTTGGAAGCTAGTACAGAACCTCAGAGGAATAGTATACTTCTGAGTACTCCTGTCTGATCTATGAATAGGTTGGCTACACCAGAGCAAAATGTGTGAAAATAAAAGTAGACTAGAATACATAGTCCTGTACAGGACAATTACTGTATGAATCACACCTTTAAAAGTCCATTGAGGAAGACGTTTTGCCTGTTTAAAGATTACAAAATCATGTCCTAGGTATAATTCTAATTATTCTGTCAGTGGGACTGAGACAAAGCGTTTAACTGGAAGTAAAAAATTTGAATTGCAAAGAAAAGTATAATATGAGGAGGGTTCATATTTACAGCATATATATATATGTGTGTGTGTGTGTGTGTGTGTGTATGTATATATATATATATGTATGTATGTATGTATGTTATAATTCACATCTTACATTAGGAAAAATCAATTGATTTCAGAAACTATTGCATCAGAAAGATATTAACAAAGTGGTTCCAAAAAAGCAGAATTTTCAGATTATGCACCTGTCTCATTATACAAATACAGCTCATACACAGAACATAATTTATGTGGCCTTTGCAACCACACTGTGTGGTTTATGATTCACATACATATCATCTAATATGCTTTCAGCTGTGAGTCAGATAAGCGTTCCCTGTTTGTTGCAAAAAACTGATATGGCATATTTCCTCCTTTTTTCTATATTAAAATAGATGCAGTATCTAGCAACTGAGATAATTATCCCTGGTACAATAAGACATGGTTCTCAAAAATAACCAGCGAAGCAATGAAAAGTACAGCATGGTACAGCATTTTCTTCACATGGAAAGCTCAAGTGTACATACAGTCTAAATACCAGGTTGTGGATAGGGTCCAGCGCACAGTCTCAGTGCTACTATCTAGTGTCTTTTTCTAAAGACCCACACATAGGCCACATTTTTTAAACTTTGCAAAGATGCACATTGCCATTTGTTCATATTCTGGAGCAGAGACAGACTAGCAAGCATGCTTGAATTTTTCAAAGTGGGCAGCTGAGTGTGCTGAAAGATAAGCAGCTAACAAGGAAAGGTGCAAATAGCTTACCTTTAGACTGTTGCTTGTTGCGTATAAGGCAAGATCGTTATGTGGAAGTTAGCTGTAGCCATAGGGTAGACTAGGTTAAACTGGGAAATTCCTGGGGAGGTTCTCTTTAACCAGTGCCTTTTGGCTGATGGTCACAAGAGACAATAACTGGCAATGAGGAAAGATGGGTGTTGTGTGGCAGCAAAAAATAGAGGCAGAATTCTTGGGTCACAGGGGTTTTGTGGGAAGTACCACTAGGGTAGATGTGAAAGATGAAAGAAGGAAAACGAAGGGAAGATTTGGGGTTGGCATCCCTTGACCTCCTGTTTATACTGCTGGCATATGCAAATAACCACTTGTATGTTATTGCGACAGGTCTGCAGCCTGAAAGACACTCACTCAGCTTCTGAAAATTGTTTCAGGGGCCACTTAGGGCCAACAGTGACTTGGCAGAGGAAGAAGACACTTTCACAGCACATAGGCAACTACAGCAAGTAAGCTACACCAGGCTAACCGTAGCAATTTCTGACCTGCAGAACCAGGCAGGGGCCTGAAGGATGAGCGCTTTGCACACAAAAAAAGATGAACACCATGCTGGGCAGCAGGCAGGAATTCCAGCTTCCTGCTGCTCCCCATACCTGGTCATCTCACTGTAATGAGCAAAGCGTTTGGCTGAAGGGGTGTCTCAGGAAGTAGCTGCACATTTGTCATTCAGTTTAAAAAAAGAGATGTACTGTTGTCCAGTGAATGTAGGGTGCTGTCAACATCATTCTGCAGCACACATACAGACCAAAGGCCTGGCTAAGCAGGGTTACGCTCTTGGGCCCTCTTTATTGGATGTCTGGCCTATTTTCATCATAGCTTTTTAAGGGACCTGTCTAGGCAGGCACTTCCTTTTTGCAAATCCAGGTCCAACATTCCCATCCCTCCTTATACACATGGCAGCAGCAGTATGCAAGACACACACCTAGTCACCAGGGGAAAGAGGGAATGAGAATAAATCAGAGTGAAAGATGAACTGCATTTTTTCTCCGTGCACAAGTTTGGGAATAAGTGATACGTAATGTGGTGTCTTAGATGAATGTCTGTGTCTTAGAGTTTCTAGGCTAATTTTAAACCTACCATTGTTTCCCTGATCCCATTCCCTCCCTCCAATGTTAGCCCTTGCAGAACTGCCATATCTAAGAAAGAGTCCTCTGGTAGCTGACAAAGGATAATACCAGGAAGTGCTCTGATGAAGTATCTATAATAATGTGGTAATAGATAAAACGTGGAAAGTTTAAAAAGTGACTAAATTGTAAGCTCCCCTCCCTACCCCCTCGTAACTTGCAAGAAAGAACAGCTTGGATTATTGTTTTGTTTGTTGCTTAAATAATTGAGTGTTTAAAACAACCTACTAATAAAAGTTGTGGTTGGTTACATTTTCAACGCGGGCCAGCCCTTTCTGCAGAAGCCAAGTGGAACACCCTCCACACTTCAGAAGCAACATCAGGGAGTGGTACCTCTCTTCTCCTTGGACCTGTAAAATGAGGGAGAGAAGTAGGCAAAGCCAAGACCAGCTGAATCATGCCTTCACTGCTTCTGGCCTTTTAGCCTCCTGCTTTGCAGAATCCTTATGCTGTAGTAAGTGTGTCTGAACCCTGCAGAGATGCCTTACACATGCTTTTGTCAGGCCTGGTTTGCAACCTACTTGTCCATGCCTGTATATTTTGGAACAGGCATCATTTTCGGCATGCTGAAAGCACAGCTGACAGCACAGTGTATGTGCAATTGGTCCTTTAAAATATGGCATATATAAAGCAGAAGTAATTCAACCTAAGTCTTACTCTTAAATGTGTAACAGGATAGAAACATCATCACAAAAGGTAGCTAAAACCATTCTCTAGTTTAGCAGCAGCTTATGTGGTAGGTAGATGAGAAATCAGCAATGTTTTTGGGCCGCGTGCCAAAACCCCCCACAACCTGGACTTGGAAGATATTGGCATGCCAGGGGTGGATGGCGGGGTAGCCATGAGGGGCCTGATCCTTGTTGTGGAAGCGCAGACCCAGTCCCCTCCCTGTCATGCTCCCAGAGGCACATGTGCAGCCACTGCCAGCAATGAGCCCGGCTGGAGCTTCAGACCCCAGTGCAGCTGCTTGCAGTGTTGCCATCTATCACACTTGCACCTCTGCCACTCATCATGGAGCCTGGGCTGCTTGCAGCAGGCAGCCATAACCCTGCAAGCAACCGCACCTGGGTCTGAAGCCCCAGCTCAGCTCATTGCCAGCAGCAGCTGCACACATGCCAGCAGTGGCTGTGCTGCCCCAGGCCCCTTCCTCGCCACGCGCTTCAAGGTACATGCGCAGCTACTGCTGGCCACAGAGCTGAGCCAGGGCTCCAGATCTGCTGCAAGCAGCCTGGGCTCTGTGGCTGGCAGCAGCTGCCCAGAACCCGGGCCGGCAGTGGCATGCCAAGCAAAATGGCCTCATGCATACGTGCTGGGGAGTTGCTGACCCCTGTGTCAGATAATGCAGATATCCAAAATAGAGGTAACAGTGAAATATGCCCCAACAGCCAGTCTACTACATGAGTGAGAAATCTGCCACAGAGACAGCCACAGGTTCATGTGTTATAGGTAGAAAAATATATTGCCTAGCTTGATACTAGGGACCTACTGCTGGCAAGCATGCTGAGTGTGAGGAGACATGCTCGGCTCAGTAGCTGGATCAGATGAAACAAAGACAAGGAAGGTAGGATAGCCTAAGAAGAACCATTGTAAAAGTAAGCATTGCTAGCTGCCACAAATATCATTCTTATTCATATTACAATAGTGTGTATATCTAACTTAAGCCAGTTTTTCCCTCAAGCTTTATCCAGGCAACTGCACTAAAGTTCGGTCAGGGAAAAGCCAGAATGGGTTACAAATACTCCTTTTTCACACAGTACTAAAAAAATTAAAATTTTTTTTTAAATAATGAAAATATATTTTAGTTCAGGTAAAAATATGAAATATAAACATTTAATGTAATATCTAAAATAACTGTGCTAAAGGGCATGTGAATTATTTAGTTATGTTGACTTTCAATAATGGCACATTAACACTAGCAGGGAGAAAGAATTTGTGTTGGTAGCGCAGGAAGGAGGCTCATGCATTTCTGCATTGAGCAAATCTGCTAAGAATTAAATACGAAGGGTCCTGTGACAGTAATATTCATGTACTATGATGCAAGGAACGATGTGGTGATGTGATCCAGTTAAAGCAGCACAGTATGCAGCATCCAACGTAGTATGTATGTGTAACTGTCCTTCTCGAAAGTCAAATATTTTCTGTGAGCTCCTCTTTTGGTTGGTAATAAGTTCACGTTAAAAAGGAAAAACCTGTATAGACTTTCATCCACTCTGGTTACATCTTTGAGTTATGTATCATAAATTTATGAACTAGATCATGGAACATATACGTGTTCTGAGAGAGGAATAAAGAGCTAGACTGCACTGATTTTGGCTCAAATTGAGCAAATCCAATATATTTGCAAACTAAAAAGTGTTTAGAGAGAGTAGATCCCTAAATTTTTTTTCTTCAAAAAACCTTGATTTTGCACCATGCGCACAAACTCATCTAGGTAATAGCTGGTTTATATAGCAAAACACCTAAACATTGAGATATAACTTATTATTAGCATCCTATTTGTATGGAAAACAGTGAAATAATAAAATCATCTGTCCAGACTTTCAGCTGAGGGGATGCCTCCTTGTATATCACCAACAGTAGCTAGATGCATTAACTGCAGATTGTAGAGATCCAATATTTTAATTCCATACTTTTACATATCACTTAGAGCAATCACAGAATAATAAAAAAAATTCCAAATCGTGCTTCAGCAGCTAGAGGGAAACATCGCATCAGGTTTTGGCAGTGACTGGATTATTCTACTCCACAATGGCAGCATCCAATGTTAAAAAGAAAAAAATGGCAGCAAAACTGGTCAGCAGCTTCTCTTCATCTGGAGTTTGCAGGTAGTTAAAAAAAAAACACAAACCAAAAACCATAAAGCTGCAATGGCAGCAGGTGGAGATCCTGGCTCTTGCATTGCTTTGATGGAAGTAAACTACATGGGTTTCCTCAGATAAACACATCACCATCCTGGAGAAGCAGAGACATAAATCATCCATATAATGATCTTCAGCAAAACAACTATGGTTTATACTGGACAGTGACCTTGCCAACTACACGTTTTGTTCATCTGTAGGTTCATCTCTGATCAGCCTTACGATGTATTAACTTCACTGGCGTTTTGGCTGGATGACATATGGGTGTCCAGATTCTCCTTATATTTCTCCAGATCGTGGAAATAAGGGTGAGACAGGGCAACATAGGCAGATATTCTCTTAGCTGGATTAAATGCTAAACATTTCTGTAAGAATGAAAATAAATTGTTTTTAATGTAGTGGTTATAGTAAAATATATAATCAATATTGTAAATGTTGAAGAGGTATGTTAATGAGCATCACTGTGTTGCTATAGGTATGAGATACATGAGAGCCTAAAGATCTATAGCAATTTCAAGGAATGCCTGAAATACCTTACATATTCCATCACTCAGCAAGAAGAGAGAATTCAGTCAGGTCACATTATATGAATACTATACACAGAAAATCAGGATAAAGTAACAGGGTTGCAAAGTCAAGCACTCACATATCAAATGTGAATTTCAATCCCTCCAATGCACACACTGGATCTCTGGCTCATTCAGTGTACAGGATGGATTTAGTGCTTAGTTCATAAGAAGCTAGCTCTTCATTACTTTGAATTCTCCTCAGTGTCTAATGTATGTAACTGTGTCTTATTTACTGCACACAATTCAGACCTTGCTATGAAGACCGAATTATTTTTTCTCTCTAGCAATTTTCTGTGGAGCTCATCACAACAGTATACAAGTACTTCACAAACAGTATTAGCTCTGGAACAGGAAAATATTATGAAATGCTTCCCACACCAGCTTCAGGAAACTATTTTCACTAATCCCTGATTCTTCTGCTCCAGGAACTTTCTATAGGCTTCCAAATACTCACAAACAAGGTAACTCTGGCAGACTCATCATACCCAGTTGTGGTACCATCACTGATGAGCTATCCTGAAACCACTTGTCACTCAAAGAGCAAGTTTTCTACAAGTCGCAACAAACTTCAATAGAATCCAGAACATCAACCACCTCCACAAGGTCATACTTGCCACCATGGATGCCACCAGCCTGTACGCTAACATCTCATACCATGAAGGCACAGCTGCCTGTGTGAAATACCTACAAGAATACAGAGTATACCCAGATTTGCAACACAATGTTGCACAAATCTTCCACTTCATCGTCACCCTCAACTTCACTATCAACGATCATCACTTCCTCCAAACCACAGGCACAGCTATGGAGACAGCCCCTCAATATGTCAACATCTTCATAAGCCACCTGGAGGAGGAATTTCTAGAAAACTGCACCATCAAGCCTGCACTATACCTGGGTTACATAGATGATATTTTTATCATCTAAATTGAACAGCTGGACTCACTTATTGACTTCCACCACAGGTTTAAAAATTATCACCCCTCAATCAAACTTTCTCTGGCATGCTCCTACACTAATGTGAACTTTTTAGATGTCACGGATACTAATCAGGCACACCAGACTAGGCCCAGTGCTGTCAGGGACTGAGCAGGCTGGCCAGCCTGAGCCAAGTACTGCAGCAGTCACACCTGCAGCAAGCTCTAGCTAATGAACTCTGCCTCAGTGTAGGAGCAGTAAGCATCCTGATGGCTGCTGGGAGCACTACCTCATTATCCATTTAGCACCAGCTGGGGCCCTGGGCCTGCAGGCCAGTCAACGATTCTCCTGTGGAAAGCCTCCTGGTTTCTGACGCAGGTTTTTAGCTTAGTTCTGGATTTAGGCTTTGGGGGCATTTTTACATGTGCTTTGGGATGCGGCACCAGGCATTTTAATTAGGAAGCTACACTAATTAAAAGTGCCTGTGTGTCATGTGTATCAGTGTCCATAGGCTGGAAAAATGGCGGTGGGGCGCTTTGAACTAAAGCTCATTGAATGTGCTTTATTTCAAAGCGCCCCGCCGCCATATTTTCAGTGTGGGGACGCACGGGGATGCTGATACACATGATGCGGAAGACTGCTGGAGCGTGTCCATTTCTGTGCTCCAGCAGACTCTATTCGAGTCTGCTCCGACATGCTGGATTTCCAGTGTGTCAGAGCAGGCTCCCTGCACATCTATAGGAGCCCTGGATTTTCCTGTGGTTCTGTTTCCTGGCTCCTGACCCTGGCTTGGCTCTGTTTTTGGACTTTGCCCTGTGGATTTTCCCCTGAATTGGTACCCTGCATCTGACCCCCAGACCCTGACCACGGATGGAGCTGTGGACTCTGCTTCTGGATCTCCCTCTGGCTTTGGTGTATGTATGGCTCCTGCCCTTTGACCCAGCCTCAGGCTGTTTTCCCTCAGTGGCCTAATCATTAAGTCAGAACATATACACCCCAGTCTCTTACACTAGACACCACAATCCACACCCAAAATGACAACCTATATAAAAAAACCACAGACCACCATACTCGTGTCCACAAAACTAGTGATCATCCCAAGCACACCAAAAAACTAGGCCTTCAGATACTACCACATCTGGTTTGAGAAGAATACTCGCAACACCCACTTAATCACCCCAAAATCATGCCCATATACAACAACGGGCTATCTTTGAAAGGGTCACCTACATAACGTGCAGTAACCTGCTACAATACAAAAACTCCCTGTGACTGAACCCTTGGCGGTCACCTGCCACACCACACTACAACTAATTACAAGAATCAAACTATTATAGCCTATACTTGACACAAGTCAGACCTTGAGAGAAATATTCTCAGCCCCTCCACTCCTTGCTTACAAACAACCCCCTAACCTTGCCTAACTTGTCATCAAAAGCAAATTCGCCACTGGGGAACAGACATCAAATGGGACATAACTTGCCTTAACAAGATGCTTCTCCATCGCTGCAACAATAAACATTCCCACAACAAACCCATCAGAATACATGGATCCTACATATGCCTTTCCCAAAATGTAGTATATCTGATCCAATGTATCAAATGCCCCCATAGTACTTAGTTTGTGTTTAGTTTCACCCACGTATGTACTAGAATGAACTCTCATGGAAAAAATACAGAAGACAGAGACATACAAACTTCTGTAGGAGCATATTTTTCACAGAAAAGTCACTCCCTTTCTGATCTCACTATCCTTGTGCTTAAGGGAAGTGCCAAACACCTTGAAAAGATGAGCTTGGGAACAAAAATTCATAAGCTGGCTGGACACTAAGAACCAAGAACTGCATACTAATTCTGAAATTCTTCCTACACACTACAGCTGGTGATGACCCTTCTCCCTTTTGATAGTCTTGATCTACTATCTTTTGATAGTAATTGATCTTTCCTTTTGCTAACTGTTTGTCTGCTACTCCTGGGAATTTCTCTCCAATTTCACCACTTTACCCATTGTTCTTAGCAATTGCTGTGCTTGCTCCCTTCCTTAAACCTGATGGAGAATGCATTGCATTTAAAAGCTTCCAAATGTAATTGGCCCAATAAAAGGTATCACCTAAAAATCCTGGCCCTCACAAACATAAACGACTTAATTTTTGCAATACTCCTATGACATAAGGATGTGATATTATCCCCATTTTACAAGCAGGGAAATAAAACAGAGATTAAGGTCAACCATATATTCTAACATGTAATTTTGGAAGCCTAGGGCCTGATTTTTCACAGTTTTTAGCACTATGTTACATTTTATGTGTTCAGAGCATAAGTCCCATTAAACTTCAGTTGCCACTGTAAGCGTCCAGCACCTCTGCAAGTCTGGAATCAGGGTCTTAAGATGAGTACACAGACAATGAGACAGACACAAAGGGCCTTGTCACATGGGACACTTAGTATATGTTAAATCTGAGCAGTATTAAAGTTAGAACATATTTTGAGCAGTCACACAGTAACGTTTGCTATAACCTCTAACACACACAGCTTGCTGATTGCTGGTCCCAACCCTCACGCCACACTCTGCTGAGGTGCTGGGGTGGAGACCCTCCAGATCTGTGGGGACACAGCTTTCAGCTTTATCCTGGAGGAACTTGACAAGTGAAAAATCCAAGATCCTTCCTACTGACGTGTGGCTTTTCTCATTCCACCTGATGGCTTGATATAGCAGAGGGGCCCCTGGCTGATGTCATGCCTGCATGAGGACTGCAAATTTCTCATATTATCTCCATGAAGCAGTCCAACAGAAGCTGAACAGGTGTTACTTAATACGATCTGGAAATACTTCTTGTGCAGAAAGTTGTAGTTTTGCTATGGTACGAGCACACTTAGCAATGCTTTACTGCTTGAATGCACAGTTGCTCATGTTTTAAGTGCATTTATCATATGCTAAATGTCATACAGGAAACCCTTGCTATTCGCGGGTTCGGCATTTGCAGTTTCAAATATTTGTGAATGCTGAACCCGTGTCTTAAATACACTTACAAGAGCTCCTTGGGAGCTGTGTGCTTGCCGCTACCACTGTCGCTGTGCCCCTCTCCACCCCACCGCCAGGGGCACAGCTGCCATGACATTCATGAACGCAGTGCCATATTCGCGGATTTTGCCATTCGTGGGGGATCTCCAGACTGGATCCCCCACGAATGGTGAGGGTCGCCTGTATGTGACATAGCCCTTAAGTGACAATCTGTGAAAATTTGTTTCCTTATATGCCTAGTGCGCTATATGAGAGGCAGGGACATAATCTATATCTCCAGGGCATTTATTTTCTTCCTGCAAAGCCCTGCCTCATTCATTACATACCTTCCTACTTCTTTAACAAATAAAGTAAGGACCCTGCAGATAATACCCTTCCATGCTGCCTCCCTAAAGTAATGTCTGTTCTGTGTACTGAATGCAGCAGTGCCTTATGGAAAATATATGGGATTATGCAATTATAGACTGTATCATAATCTATACAGATAAAGGAACTGAATTAAGTTTGCATGGGCATGGGCAACCTTAATTCTGTCATTTTCTACCATGTGCTTGGCTTTGCAATGCCTGGAGTTTCTTGTGGTTGTTTCCTAGGGATTTTAAATAAGCAAGCTGAAAAAAGGAATTCCATCCTGGGGAATCTTGGGAAACCGCAACAACCAGCCAGGCTTCTCCTGTGCTCAGATTACTGCCTCTCATGCTGCCCAGTACTGTCTTTGCATCTCCTCTGCCTGTGTTTAGCAGTCTTATACTTAGATTGTGAGCTCTTTGGATGTGCGCTGTCATTTTATTCTGTTTGTGCAATACCCAGTACAATGGGGTCCTGGTCTATGACTTAAGTGTTTATGTCAGTACAAATAATCACAACCCACTATTTTTTTTTTTATCAGAAAGGTGAACCCCTTAGATCTACCAAGTAGATCTCTGTCAGAAAAACTGAGGATAGTAGTAGGTTGTCATCCTCTACAACAGGTGTCTCAAACCCATCTGGCCCTATGGGTCAGATAAGTGGTGCAAGGCTTGTCCACACCCTGTTTTTCCCCCTCCACATGCATGCTTGATCCAGAATATGTAGCACCTGCCTGGATCGGTCTAGTTGATTAATCCGCTGCTAAACTCACACCAACCAGGTACGATAAAAATGATTAAATCTATTCCTGTTCTCTTAGAGCAAAACCCTGGGAATTGGGTCACGGCCCAAATAGTAAATTAAAAATCTCTATAGGGGATTGTGCAGAAAAAAACCCTCCCTCCAATAACTTTGATGTGGCCATAGTAGCCTAGAATAACTTGAAGCTTTAGTAGCCCATGTACTGCTTGTGCATGTCCTCTGTGTGAGGAAACAGTTTGGGAATTCATAAATAATACCCCCAGGGAGCTGGACCTAACACTGGGCAGAGAACATAGAGTGTCCTCCAGATTCTACCAGCCGTGCACACAGGTTTGGCATTGGTTCTGATGCAACTAGGGCTTCTCCATTCACATTCAAGCCAATATCTAATAATATAATTAAATTAAAAACCATGTTTCTTGACATGTTACTATGCAGAGTGGGTGATGTCATTTAAGTTATGCTCAGAGAGTAACAGAAACTTACAAGGATCAAGTCTTTGCCCAACTCATCAATATCCGGTACAAATTTTTCAATGGGCTGTGGCGGTCTGGGATTGAAAGCATGTCTTGGAAGAGCAACATCACTTGGCCAGTCCTCTTCTTCCGGGAGTCCAATTACACTGTGAAGAATAAGCGCACACATTAGTTTCAAGGGAAAGTAAATCACATGACTCTGTTTCATTGTACAAGACCCAAAATTATGTTTTCTTTGTTCTCTTTTGAAGCAAGTAGTCCTGGTTCCAGGTCTATCCAATCTCACAGAACAATCTGGTATCTGTATAATTTAAAACAATTTTAAAAATCAGCATGGACCATCTATAATGAACATTAAGGGGCATATTCTGGAACCATTGCTCACACTGAGTGGGAGCTCACTCTGGGTAAGCTTAAGGATTTCAGTGGTACTGTGCAGTGTTAACTATGAAGAAGAATGACAGAATTGGGCCCTAAATATTCAAGGTAAAACTTTATGAAACTAGCTCAGTGGCAGCATTCTGACTGTAGTCTCAGTTTCCTGAGTCTACAGGTTGACAAGGGACTGGGAGTTCTCTGGAAGAAATGTGCTCAGATCTCTATGATATGATGTTACCACACAACACTTGGGAGTGGTTAAAAGGAGATTTTTGGCAGGTTTTAGAGCCTATTCCCATGCAAGCTTCTTTTGCTGTAACAACTGTGACAAAGACAAAAGACTTCAGGAAAAGAGAGGCAAGAATTGGGATCAAGAAAGGAGGTTAAGAGAGATGTATGTCCATGAAGGCGTGTGCCTGCGCACTGGTGAACTAAGAATTACCTGGGAAAAAATAATCTTTTTCTGTAAAGTATTTTTATAACACTTACTGGACAAGTAAGCATTTCCAAAAGATAAGTAATTCAGTTGGTTTAAGTTAAAATTTTCAAAAGCAACATAGAAGCCTAACTCCCATTTCAAAAGCATTATAGGAGTTAGGTGTTTTAACCAATACACACTCACCTTTGTTTTGTGTTCACCTCATCCATTTTTATTGCATTTCAGAACATTTTCATTACATTTTCTACTCAGAGGGCACATCTACATGTGCATTAATGCGCATCTACATGTGCATTAGGGCTGCTCCAATTAAAGCACTGCCCCCTCCCAACCCTGACGTACATGTAAAAGTGCCCTGAGGTACTGAATAAATGCACATTAGGCTGCCATAATGCGCAGTACTGAAATCACACATTTTTAAGTGACACAACACACAGTATTATATTGTGCATTAGCATAATTGCATGTTTCTGTCTGTGATGCTTTAATGTACAGTAAAATAGACTATTGCACATTAAAGTGCACATGTAGAAGCACCCAGAAGGTAATATAGAGTTTATGTCTATGAAATGATCTCACTAATTTCTAAAAACTTGACAAAATACTTTTTGAAGTTTCTTTTAAATGTACAAATTTTCTTTTTTGATCATGTCTCTACACAGGTTTATGTCTACAGTTAATATTTATGACAGAGATATCAAGTAATGAAAAAGGGGTTTCTCATGGAAATGCTGGTAGAGACCCATTAGCCACACCTGACCTGCTAATTTTTAGGCAAAAGTCAATTTTTACAGCTGAATTTTACAGCACATAAGACTGAGATTCAACTGGGAAACCATGACAGTTGCACAACTGTAGGATGAAAACAAAAAAATAGTTTCAGTAAGTATTAAGGGTTTGCACTAGAAATGCCACTAGGGTTCAGTATTGCCTTTCTTTTCTCTAGTAGTGCTTTGTACTAGGCACAGAATAAAAATTCTCCCTTTCTGTAGTGTAAATCCTGAGTTATTCCATTTAATTACACCACATGTAGACAAGGGTAAGAGTTGTATTTAGCTCCTAGCATGTAAAAAGTTTCTACAGACTAATACTACTAGAAAGGAACAGCATGACTACAAGCATACAGCCATTGACATCTTGGTTTTTTTTTTCTTGTGCCTTATCTAAAGGCTGGCAATTCTTGGCAAAGAGGGGACTGGATTTGTTGGCAAAATTAAATTTCATCCTCATCTAATATTTATGGATTGTGAAACGTACAGGGAGTTTCTCACATATGAGATGCTATGAGTCTTACTCCGAACACCTTGCAATTTAGTACTTCAACACTACAAATATTTATCCATGTGTGTAGTGTCATATACATGACTAGTTCTACTAAGTCTACTGAACCCATGTTAAGACTTAACACAATGAACAAACACTGTGGGCTCATCCCACAGTGTTCATTGTGTTAAGTCTTAATGTGGGTTCAGTAGACTTAGTAGAACTAAGGAGGTCTGACAGAAGGCTTAAATGGTAATGAAATATGTAACTTGTTCTCGTTCAGCTGTGTCTGGTTAGCTTTGGGTTTTTGTGTGTGTTATGGAGAATATGACTATTTTTAAAGACTTGATGTATGACTAGATTCCCCTATTGCTGGTCTGACTGCTAGCCGCACCACCATTTGGCCAACCAAGTTTTGGAGCATTTCAGAGATGGTTGCTTCACCTCTCAACAAACTGAGAGGATAGATGTGGGAGTTATTAGTAAATATTGCTAGGCTGGGCATCAAAATCTCTCAGGCTCAACCTGCTTCTAAAAAATGTTGAGCACTTTTCATCAGCCTCAGTTATAGAGCTGAGTGTCTCAGAACACCACAGCATCTGGGCTCAAATCTGTAAGCATACACGGTGTTGAACTGATGGCATTTGGAAAGGACAGAAGCATTCTGGACTCTACCCTAAGCATCTTGCCCAGTTTTTATGTGAAACTCAGACTCAGGTAACTAAGAGTTGGTCACATGGAGCAAACAGAACATGGCTTAGTTATCTGGGGAAACAAGGTGTCAGTCCAGAATGTCCTAAACCAGCTTTCTGTCCAAATTAGCCTGGAAAATGATTCACAACCTTAGCAAGTAATAGACCCCCTCATAAAGGCAAGACCTGTGCCTAGATGTTGGAGGTGTCCAACTGTGAGAACAGAAAACAAAATATTACTTCACATAAAAAGCAAAGAAGAAGAATCTGACATATTAGAGTCACACAAAATAGGCAAGGCAGATTTTCTCTTTAAGCAGAATATGTAATAGGGAATTTCTTCTCTTAACTAAAATTAGCATGGTGTTTTCTCTTCCTGATTAATGGTTGAATTCTTTTCCACACAGGTAATCTCACACACTAGAGATGGATGAACAGTACAACTAGGGGAGGCTGCTGCCAGCTGTTGTGTGTTTAATTCTATCCCAATTCATTCTGGTATTCTGCCCCTGAAATGTTACCAAAAAATTTGGAATCTTAAGAACTGTCTCATCCATGCTTTTAACATGATTAGCATCTGTTGTGTGTAATGAAATAGTCTTCGTTAGATGAAGCACTATATAAAGAAATCATGGAGGGGAAATTTTGCCAGAACAAGAAAAAGCAAGCCATAGAGGATGGATTTTTCTGGATTGTGCAGGAAGAGTTATTCAGTGCATGACAAATGAACCACGCTAGTGAGTCACATAGACTGGTATGGTAGGCAGGAAAGGGAAGTCAGCTGGGTGAAATCAAGACCTGCAATTTAGGAACCTTATATTAAATAATGAAAATCTTTAGAAATTGTTCTGTTATGATTTTAGAACTGGACAAGTAGTTAAGCAGACACATTCATTACCAGACCTACTCAACTGGGGCTCTTTCCTTAGAAGCTTCTCTCTGAAATATACGCAGGGCAGGAAATAGGGGAGACCAAAGTCTCACTCTGACCTCCCTGCCTATTCCTTCCTTTGGCCTGCATAGTTCTCTCTCCCATCCAGATGCCTGGAAGCCTGTGCTCCATCCATGAGAAGGGGAGGACAGTGCTGCAGAGACAAATGAGCCTTCATTTTGTACAGGAAAAGTAAGAGCCATGCATGGGTCTGATGGCCATAACCCAGTCCAGTATTACTATAAGACATTACAAGAGGCTTCAAATTTCCACGGCACTCTGTAAGATCATCAGAAACTATGGTTCTGAAGAGGAGTTACCGTGCAAAACAAAACAAGCAAAGTTTTAAAATGCTTTAACCTATTTTTAACCTATCACTACTGGATATATAATTTATTTTTAATCTGAAATCTTTTCTGTACATGGATATCTTTATTTAGCAGTTTCTATATTTCTCCTTAATAATGAACATTTCTGAGGGATTCTGCTTTATGAAATCCATAAATGAATAAAACATTGAGTAGCTAAATCTCTATTTTTATTTGGCAGTTAAGGTGACTTAAAGGTACTTTTCCTTCTAAGAAATTGTGTGAATGGTATATGGACGATATGTTAAAAGATAAAAAAAAATCCCCCAGAAGTCTGTTATAACTTCCTGACAATGACTGTTAGTTCTGCAAAACTATATTCCATGCTGCTTCCTCTTCCCACTCTGACACAGAATACAAGGAAATATTATGTTACGGTATAGCAACAATAAGAAATATGTTCTAGGAATACTTTATTGTAGTCACTTTACTCCATAAAAAATGTGTCAAAGAAACCTCAAAGTGTTTCAAAGCTAGACAGCCATTGACATAATGCAGCAAGTTATTACTTACTCAAAGATTTTTCCTAGCTGATCAACATCTGAATTTCCACGAAAAAGTGGCCTGAAAAAATAAAGAAATATATTAGGGGTAAGATTTTCTTCAGGTGAACTTGTAATTCTCACAGGATGCTTCCAACATAAACTGAAAACCTTGTATCCTTTCGTGGTTTTGACCCATCTATAACTGTACCACCTTTTAAGGTTTTGCTTGGATTGGTAACAAGATTTAAAGCTAGTGGATCAGGCATACTTTTAGTTATGCTGCTTTTGAGAATTAATTGTATTCTTTAACATGCTATATAACTTTATTTCTATCCCATTTGAAAACTATCATAAGTATGAAAACAAGCCATTGGTTGATGAATATATGCTCTATGTGCTTTTATTCAAAGTGCTGTTTAAAGGAAAAGACAGAGCCATACAAATCATTTTAATAAGATACAATAGAAGATAATTAAATGTATACTTTTTTCTTGTTTATTGTACGAAAAATGTATCCTTAAGGTTTGGAAGTCAAATTGAGGACAACAGGGTTTTACATGGTTTTATAACAAAACAGTGCAGAATTTACCTTGCAGTGGAAAACTTCTGCTGCATAAATATAGGTTAAGGAAAGAAATTAATGATCTGAACCTTCAATGGTTGTTAGAAAAAGCAGTCACTTAAAAACACTCAGAACAGTAGTATACAGAGGGTAAATCTACACATGCAATTAATGTAGCTAAAGAAACTCCAGCTCAGTTCATACCAGAATTTACTGCTCCTGGGTGTCATATTTGCATGTTCCCCAGACTGCAGCAAGTTGAGCCAGGGCAGACCAGCTCTGGCTGGCAGAGGGCCCAGGGGGCTAGCCTGCCAGCCTGGGGCTGCTCTGACCCAGCTCAACATGCTGCAGAGGAGCTGGTTGGGGCCCAAGGGTGCCTCAGTGAGGGGCTAACCAGCAGGCAGCTTCCACACTGAAGCACCCTCGTATCCCAGTCAGTCCTGTCAGCATCTACATGTGCCTTGCGTCGGAGTAAATAACTCCGCTGTAGGATAGTACTTGTGTCTGGCAGTACTATCTTACAGCAGAGTTAATTAGTTTACTTCATTCTAATAGCACCGCACATGTAGATGGCAACGTTTTACTCTGAAGCTAATTAGTCAACTTTGCAGTAAACATCCCAAGTAGATGCACCCACCTTGCACTTTTAAAGCACAGTTAAAAAAAACACACTCTTTTCTATTGTATTTAAAAAAAACAGCATCACCCCATAACATTCCATTTTGCAAAAGCAATGTGAAAGTGACTGTCCTGTATGAGATGCACATACATTTGCTTGATGTACTTGTCTGTTTGTAATACAATAAGATATTATACCTATTTTTGACTAAAACTCCAGAGAGATTCACAACAAACTAGTAGAAAGTCCCAGATGGCTGTGAAAACAGATACCACTATTTTGTTTAGCTTTATGGAGAGAGATCGTGAGATTCATCAAAGAAACAAACCACAGATAGACTGCAAGAATTAGATGTTACCGTTACTACTTGCTGTCTCTCTCTTTGGGCAGTTTTTGGAATGCAATACATGCTGTAAACTTAGTTACCAAAACAAGATGCAAGGTGGCATCTAATAGAGACATAGCCATTAGCCACTACAAATACTACATATTCTGATGTTGGCGGTAGTAGCACACTATTGGTCTTGGAGAAAGCTCAGTTTTCCTCCCCTACATCTTGCCTAGTGTTCTTTTCCTTGTCCATCTGAGCTCACTAACAGTGCTGGCAATGTCTGAGTTACCATTTCATGGTTGCAATTTGCCAGAGAAGAGCTCTCTCACCTGCATCAGGGATGTTTGGCTGTAATCTTCCTGCTGCTTAAGCTCCAGTATGGAAATGGGTGGAGGATGTGCAAATGGTTTCCTTCTCCCTACTCTGGTTAATTCTTGGAAACAGGCCTTCCTTCCTTCTCGGCACTTTCAATGGGATAATGCAGCTCCACATACCTGCTAACTTGAAAACTTTATGTACCGAGCCCTGTGTGTTTTTATATGTATGGCAGATTCAAGAACCATGACAGACATCCACTACATACGACTGATCATACAAATATTTGTCACAACAATCTCCAAAGAAGTATGTGCCACTTAGTGAAACAATAGCAAAGCAATAGGTGTAAAATGTGCTGCGCAGTTTTATAAACAGTATGTACACAGTTATGTATTCTTTTTCCACATCAGTTGCTAGTCCACATCATGGCTTATCAATTTACACTCTAAACTGTCTGAGGCAATGACAGAAAATATTCTAACAGATTTACATCCATGGCTTTGGTATTCCAGATATAAACTGCTGTAGCAACAAAGTTGGTAGCCTAGTGTACTGTGAATCTGAATAAACAGGAAGTGATAATATGCAGTGCTTTACATACATGGATCATTTTTGTAGTATAATATTAATAGCCTCTTACTAAGATGGCTTCAGCTTATGCCAACTCTACATTGTTTTGCTCCGCCCTACATTTAAGGTGTGTAACTGTATTAGCTTCTAAGGAAAAAAATAAATAATTTGACTCCAAATGAACAGCTATGAATATCAGCATTGGGCTGGATTTTCAGAAGGGTTGAGCATCCGCACTTCTATTAGAACCACTGGGAGCAGCAACTGCTCAGTACCCTTCAGAAGCCAGTAATTTGACAAGGAACTACCTGATACTGCTAACATGTAGCCCAGCTTCATCTCTTTGAGAATCTAACTCAATGCATTAGACCTAGGCTCTTTAAGCTAAAGAAAAGTACACATTTCAAGCATTTTGTCCAAGCAAAAGTCAAATAGTCTAATGCTCTAAAATGTATTCTGAACCTTGTGTCCATGCGAAGGCCTGGCAAAGTTAATCTTTTTCTCAAATTACCTTAGGCAGCATCATGCCAAAACAAGTAAAATTCTTGGGATTTTTAAGAAAGATTTTTCCCATAGCTGCTTCTGCCTTCGATTCAATAGGAGGTGAAGCAAAGTTTGCAATGTTTTGAGAGCATAATTTTAGAGCACAAAGTGACCTTCCAGCACACAGTAACATTCCACCACAATTATGAATTATTCATTCATATGTTGGACTCTTCCCCATCTCATGGTCATTATTTTGATAGGCTGCCAAAACTGGGCACCACAAATATCATGAAATTTGCCTGGTGACTTGGCTGGTGGTTCAAACCTCTCTGGACAAATAACTGAGCAAGTATATTAATTTAACCAACCACCATGTGAAGACATCTTGTGTGACACACTGGCATCCATTATTCTTTGCTACTGGTGTGCAAGTATGTGAGTGAACAAGGCCACAACACGTTACAAGGAAACTACTAAGTAGTTGTTTCTTAATGCTATTCTTACAGGTGGATGTTAAATCTCAAGTATATACTGGCAGCCATGGGAAAAGTATCATTTCATCCTTGTTCCTTGTATATTTTACTTTCTAGTCATTCACACAGTTCCTGGTGTTTTTCTTATTTTATATAACCCAGATCCAGAGCCCTTACTCACAAATACATTCCCTTATTTGTGGATATGTGAAAACTAGCTAAACTCCATGGCTGCGTCCAGATGAGCACAGCTGTGCAGTATGTGGTGCTTCAGACATGTATGCAGCGCCACATATCACATATTCGCCGCATTGCAAGGGAGCAACACAGGGTTTTTTTGATCCCTGTGGTCAAAAAAATCTGCACAAAAAAAGTGGAGCGGTGCATGCGGGGGCAGCGTATGCTACTCAAAACCAGAGCTGGGTTGGCTGGGGCCACACTGCTGCAAGATTGCCACTGCTACAGCCCTGGGAGCCTGCAGAACCCCATGTAAGGCTGCTGGGGTCAGCACAGTGCCCCCGCGCAGGGGTAGCAGCCTCCCTTACCCCACCCGAGGCAATCTGCTGCACACCAGAAGGCGTGCAGGTAGCACAGGTGTTCCCTGGGAACAACTAGTGGTGGCACAAGGTGTACCTGAGGAATCAAATGTCCATGCTTGTGTGGACAAGGCCCACGAGTTTTACTCTCTGGAGTTTCTTCCTTTTTCTTTTGTGGGGAAAGGCAAGGGGCTAGGTTTAGCTTCTGTGGCAGAAGTTAAGTTCCATACTCATCAACTCTGAAGATCTTTGCAGACCCAGAGGGATCCACTGGATCTCACTGACACTGGTTACAAGAGCAACATTCCTGGCAGTCCCATGTACTTCAGAATGCATTTATATGCGGGGATACGTTCTACAGTGTATAAAAGGCTGAGTTTATATTTGCAGTCTCAGGATACCTTAACTTTTGTATGGTCATCATGGTTTTTTTTCTCCTGCCACCTGTAAAGGAGGTAGAGGTAGAGAGAATCCAGTGGAGCCCAACTGATTCTTCCAGTCTCTTTTCAACTGTTTGCAGCTGAAACATCACAAACTGCATGTGAAGTTGCCTCTATTTTGTGCAGGAGAAGCACAACTGAACTTGCCTCAGTGAGAACGTGGTCTTCTACTCCTCTCCATATCAATATGCTCAGGAGTTACCCAGTTTTTAGTAAATCCTATTGAAGCAACCTCCCAGCAAAATCAATGGCAGTTTGCTCTGAAAGGACTGAGACAAAACTGAATAAAGATCTCAGGATCTGTCCCTGAGGTTTGGAACACCCACATACCCAATTAAGCAGATATCAACTAAAGAAATTTCCATTATGATTTTTTTTCTCAGACTGTCTATTTACTTTTTGGTAAAGCAAACCAAAAGACAGATAAATATACACAGAAATATAAATAAAAGTTACAACACAAATTAACAGTGTAAAACAAAAATACAGAATGAATAAAGTCTTTGCTTATAGATTAGGAGTGCATACATGAATATTGCTTGCAGAAAGGAATTTATTGCTGTAGACAACTGAACAAGAAAAACATCACTATTCAACAGTGCTGTGCTCTTGTTTGCTTGTCCAAGTTTCACAAAGTCATACAGTTTTCACTTGTATTCAGTACTCCATCCACCTAAGCTGGAGTAGATATCTGTTCTACAAAGGTCAAGAGCTTTGTTTTGTACATGCCGTTTTTTTTATATC